TGCAGAACCCAGCCAATCAGAGGAAGGCTTAGAAGCCGCCAGTCAGGGCCAGGCTGGGCCCCATAAGAAGGGCTGCAGGGCAGAGAGGAGTTCAGTCTCCCCCTGGAGCTTGAGGGAGAAGGTCTGGCTACCTATAGAGAGAAGTACCTGGGACAGAGCAGTGCTGGGCAGGGTCACGAGAGCAAGCGGAGCTCCAGCCTGGCTGGCTCCCAGACTGTGGCCTTGATACAGAGGCCAAGTAAGTGCTGCGGCTATGGGGAAGTGGCCCAGGGAAAGCAGGTAGTGGCAGAGGGGAAGGAGACGCAGTGAGTGGCTACCTGCTATAGGGTCCCTGGGTTAGGCCTAGAGTAGTGGGTGGGCCTGACCCCCTGCCCTTTTGCCCCACTGGCTGCTGAGGGAAGTGGCCAGCTAAGGGACTGCAGTTTGCCCCTGAGCAAGGGGCTGGACTAGGGGCTGCAGTTCACCACTGCAGCGAGAGGCCAGGCGAAGAACTGCCGGTTCCCCCTAAGGGGGGAGACAACCGAGTTGGGGCACAGCCAGAGGGCCATGCCCTGAAGAGGACGCCGTGGTCAGGGAGTGACGCGGGTCCCCACAGACAGTGGAGACGGTGGAGAAGCAGCGACAGAGAGTGAGACACCACAAGAGGAGGGCGCCCTGCTGATGGACAGAGCTAATTTCCAGAGCAGCCGGCAGGAGGTGCCCACGGTGGTGAGGATAACCTGTTACAGCAGCAACCCAGATAAAGCCACTGTGCTGCTTCAGTACTTGAATTTGGCACACCTGGAAATGTGGGAAGAGATTGTTGAGTCTTGATTTCACCCATTCGAGCTGCAAGGCATGGGCTCTTTTGTGGCAAGTTGGAGGGTCCTGTCCAGTAATGCTACACCTGGCAAAGGTAACTGCAAATGCTGTCACCTCTCATCTTCTTTCTAATAGCAAGGTGCCAACAGACAAGATTATGCGCCAGGAGGTCCAGCAGCAATTCTGCAGAAACCTTCACCAATTCGCGGAGGAATCTCCACTCTCCTTTCCATACTCTATTGCAGAGATCAACGTTGCGCTGTTGGAAATCAAAAGCTGGAAAGCTAATGGGATTGATGGCATTCCTCCAGAGTTTCTCAAGAACCTGGAGAGACATTGATGGGAATGGCTGGCGGCGCTTTTTATTGCTGTGCATAGAACCAGAGAAGTTCCAACAAGCTGGCAACAGGCAACCGTGTTTGCTGTACTGAAGCCTGGGAAATTCCCAACTACCACCCCGTCTCTCTCCTTTCAACCATTAGCAAGCTCATGAAATGGGTGCTGCTCCGCCATCTCTCTAACATTATCGAAGACATCCTCCCAGTGGAGTAGGCAGGATTTTGCCTGAAGAGGAACTGCTGTGACTTCACTTACCAGCCACATTGACAGGATTCCAACGTAAACTGAAGACGGGGATTGCCCTTGTTGATTTGTACTAGGCATATGACACCATCTTGAGACAGGGCCTCCTTCTCAATATCCCCCATGTAATTCACTGCTAGCGAACAATCTGTCTCTTGATAGCAATAACTAGGGACTGCCGCTTTGAGGTACACCTTAATGGCCAGATCAGCAGACGAAGAACTCTTAACTCAGGCATCCTTCGGGGCTCCATCATGGCCCCAATACTTTTAAATCTATCTGCCGTTGTAACGATGCTGGTTCTGGCGGGACCCAACTGAGAGTGCCAATTCAGGACAAATTGCTTAAAACAGGGCAGTTACAGCCCAAGGCTGGGGTTTTTCCACCTCTAAGGCAAACCAAACCAGCCAGACAAAGAGGACTTTGGTCTCACCCCACTGGCTAACCACAAGTCACACAAGCAATTCCCTTAGACTCTCCAGTTCCCAGTATCACCACCAGTGCCACTCTTCATGGGGATGAATGGTTATGAAAACCAATACCCCAGTAAAAGAAAAAAAGGTTCTCCCGATCCCAAAGGATCAAGCCCCAGACCCAGGTCAAGCAATAGAATAAACTGCAGGTTCAAATTAAGTCTCTGGAGTACATCCACAGCTGGGATGGGTCATTCAGTCCTTTGTGTAGAGCTTCCGTTTGTAGCAAAGTCCCTCCAGAGGTAAGAAGCAGGATTGAAGACCAGATGGAGATGAGGCATCAGCCTTTTATAGTCTTTTCCAGATGTAAGAACACCTTTTTGTTCTTACTGTGGAAAATTACAGCAAAATGGAGTCTGGCGTCACATGGGCAAGTCCCTGCATACTTTGCTGAGTTACAAGGCTATCTGCCTTCTCTCAATGTGTCAATTGTATAGCTGATGGTCCTTAATGGGCCATCAAGCAGGCTAGGCAGAGCTAACACCAACTTGTCTGGGATGTCTCCCAGAAGCATAGCATAAGTTTGAAATACAGACAGTATAGAGCCAATATTCATAACTTCAACTACAAAATTGATACACACATATAGACAGCATAATCATAACCAGCAAACCATAAACTTGTCTTAGACACCTCATTTGACCTCCTTTGTTGCAACAATGATCTATATGGTCCCAGATTATATCAATAACGTCACAGCCTTGGATATACCAACAACAGAGTTGAGAATATTTGTGTATGTGGATGACATTGTCAAGATCTTAGCACAATGGCTAATTATTTCCAATGCTGGAAACTTAGGCCTAAGCTGAAAAAAAACATGATGATTACTTTCCATCTGAACAATAAAATGGCTAATACTGAACTTGATGTGCAGTTCTGCGGTGAGAATGTCGGCCATGAGGGTATTCCAAAGTATCTCAGCATTACACTGGACCAGAGTTTGACCTTCCAACAAGATTTCAAGAACACCCATGATAAGCTCAGGTCTCGTGTCACACTTATCAGGAAAATGGCCAGAACATATTGGGGCTCCAATCCACAGATCCTATGAAGCGCAACAATTGACTTTGTATATTCTGCAGCTGAATAGTGTGTGCCAGTACGGTCTCACAGCATTCACACTAAACTCCTCAATACCCAATTCAATAATGCCATGTGCATAGTGTCAGGGATGCTCAAATTGATTTCAGTTGATAGGCTCACAGTCATATCGCATATCCAGCCTCCACAGATTAGAAGAGCTGCACAGACATCTCGCTTTCTCAGCCATGTCAATGCAAATATGAGGATCCCTTTGCACAATAATCTGCAGAACCTACCTGTAGTAGTGTTGGCTGAGGTTCGGCCCTCAGCGGGGCTGTGGGGTATCCCACCGCCTTGCTCTGGTCCGGCGGCAGTCTGGGATGGCAGACACACAGTTAGGGGGCTCAGGCCCGTAAGCAGGGGCTGAGCCAATAGATAAGAAAAGAGCCCCGAGCCCTCAATCCGGGCGGGGCAGTAATCACACAGTCTGGAGCTTCGGCCCTCAAGCAGGGGCTGAGGCAATGTCTATAGCAGCTCAGGCCCTAGGTCAGGGCGGGGCAGCAAGCAAATAGTCAGTCTGCAACCCAGGCCTTCAAGCAGGGGCTGGGTCAGTTTGTAGCAGCCCAGGCCCTAGGTCAGGGCGGGGCAACAAGCAAATAGTTAATCAGAAACCCAGGCCTTTAAGCAGGGGCTGGGTCAGTTTGTAGTAGCCCAGGCCCTAGGTCAGGGCGGGGCAGCAAACAAATAGTCAAGCAGCAACCCAGGCCTTTAAGCAGGGGCTGGGTCAGGGTTTGTAGCAGGTCCCAGCCTCTCTAGGCCAGGGAAAAAGGGGGAGTCTTTTCCCCCCCCACTCCACTGTGTCCCAGCCCAGGGCCCTAGCAGCGACGGAAACTCGCTGCTGTCAGTGGGGTTCCTGGCCGCAACACAGACATTGGCTCTGGCAGTGCAGCAGCCAGACTGGGGTCGGCTACCCTGGGGCTACTTCCACACTCCCCCTCGTATGGTACCTGGGCCGTCCTCCTGTCGTCGGTGCTCTCCACCAGCATCGGCTCCTCTGGGTAGGTAGCGAAGGGCAAGCTCGGCTTCTCCTCGGGGTAGCTGGCACGGGGCAGGCTTGGCCAGTCCTTCTCGGGGTAGCTGGCACGGGGCAGGCTCGGCTCCTCCTCGGGGTAGCTGGCACGGGGCAGGCTTGGCCAGTCCTCCTCAGGGTACCGGGCGAGAGGTAGGCTCGACAGGCCTGGTAAGTCAGCAGGCCGGTCGCGGCCTGCGGCTGTCTCCCAAGCGGGAGCTCGGCCACAGACGTCTGCTCTCTCCGCCGGCGTGGGCTCCACTGAGCTCTGCAGGCGGGCTTTTATACTTCCGGGTCGGGGCCGTGACCTCTGAGGGGCGGGCGCCGGACCCGGTGGCTCCGCCCACGTTGGTATTAGGGGAGGTTCGGCCCTCAGCGGGGCTGTGGGGTATCCCACCGCCTCGCTACACCACCGAAGACCAGATTAAAATCTCGCAACCCTCTGTGGAACCGCATCAAGCCCCTTACACTTAACTTCGACACTGAGGCTCAATGGAGAGCCATGTGGAGTGTTTCGATGGCTCAAAACAAACAGCTCATCATCGACCCCGCCAAGGAACCACTGGGTTTTGATTTATGTTGGAAAGACTGGTGCAGATTGAATCACAACAGGACATCTCATGGGAGATGTGAACAAACCCTCTTTAAATGGAAAATGAGGTAAACACCTGTATGCAACAGTGTGCTGGCTATCAAACCTAGATATAGATTTGTAATTGTTGCTACCAAGGCATATGGAAGAAGAAGAAGTGACTTATCTTTTAATATGGTCACTGATCACAGCAGAAGACACTTCAGCAAAGATGTTTCCAGTTGGTTCTGATGGGGCAGACTTTAGCTTGTAAGTAATTCTGGATTGGTGGACATTTATGTTATGAGAAGACGTATTTACAAGTAAGAACATAATGTTTTCTTATAGATCTAAATACGGATCTTATATATTACTGTTTTATTTATACTGAATTTATTTACAGCTGTAGAGAACAGTTTAATATCAAATGAACATTCTGTATTTACTGTATTTACATTTACTTTATTTTGTATTTTAGGGGTGGAAAATATCCAGGGATTGATGGGTATTCATATGGAGACCATCTGTGCACTGGTACTCCCTCAGTAGCTACTGTCAAAGTATGTGAAATATAGTCTACAGTATGTACACTTCAAAAATTGATATTTTAATTAATGTAAATATTTTCTCCAATAACATTATGCTAATAATTGATTGTTTCATAGCATTTAAGTCTAGAACTATTAGATCATCTAGACTGACATCCTGTATATCACAGGGCAGTAAATTGCACCCAGTTATCCCTAGATAAAGCCCAATTTCAGACCAAAGCCTTTCGGTCCTTAAATGACTAAACTGTTATGTGACACAGGCAGAGAACAGAAGAGACTAAGGTGCCACCAGGGCTCCTGCAATGGCAGGGAATTAACTAGGTGAGCTATGCCTAGAGGATCCCAGCACGTGATCCATGTCCCATGCTGCAGAAGAAGGAGAAAAAAACCTCAACGTCCCAGCCAAGCAGATCTGGGGGAAATTCCTTCCTTAAAATCTGGTGATCAGTTGCACCCTGAGGATATGAACAAGGCATACCAGCCAGTCATCTAAGAAAGAGGACTCCCTGCACCTCCTCAAAGTCCTGGTCCACCCATCGCGTGTCTCATCTCCAGCTGGGGATAATTGACTACACTCTGATGTGTCAGAGGAAGGTGGGGGGGAAAAAACCAGAGTACATTTGATCAATTTTGATCAATTGTGCATTTTGGGGGCAGGGGAAATCCTTCCTGACCCCTGCAAACACCTGAAACCATGAAGCATTCAATTTGATTATATTACTTGTCCTAATGCAAAGCTGCAAGTGTTATGAGCATGTTGAGAGCAATGGAAAACTTTCTGTTCTCCATGGCTCATGAAGAGAGGTAATGAACAGGGGATGCATAGATTCACAGATGTTAGTCAGAAGGGACCACTATGGCCATCCAGCCAACCACCCACACACAAAGGCCATAGAATTTCTCCCAGAATCTTGATTAAAGCAGATCTTTTAGAAAGATACCTAATCGCTGTGAATTTGCATCTTATTTCAAGTTGAATTTGTCTAACATCAACTTCCAGCCATTGGAACTTGTTATGACTTTGTCAGCAAGACTGAAACTCCTCCCTCCCCCCCCACCAGATATCTGGTCTATGTGTAAAAAGCTATACACAGCAATCAAGTCACCTCTCAACCATCTCTTTAATAAGCTGAATAAATTGAGCTTCTTAAGCCTCACGTCATAAAACTTGTTCTTCTTTGAATGCTTGCTCATATTCATTCCTCCACATTAGGTGTATGCATGCCATCTGCACAATCACTGGAGATTTTTCCCTCAATGGTATCCGTCGGGCCGGCTCTAGTGCCCTTTGGCACTGAGCACTCATGTGCCAATAGGAGAGGCCCAGTTGGTTCCGCATCCTCTCAGTTCCTTCTTACCTACTATGGTGGTCGCTGGAACAGCTCCTCTTGCTTACTGGTTTTGTTATCCCAGTTCTTTATTTTCTCAGCTTGGATGTTGTAGATTAATTTTATATATAGTTAGTTAAAACTTCTTGCCTTGTTAGCGGATTTTCGTCTGCTCCCGGTACTGGGGCATGCCCCGGTCCCCAGGTTTCAAGCTCTGTGCCTCCTGTAGCAAGCCCATGCCTGTAAGTGACCCACACTCCACTTGTCTGAAATGCCTGGGAGAGACTCATATCGGGGAATGGTGCCAGATCTGTTGGGACTTCAAGCTCTGTACGAAGAAGGACATGGAGGCCAGGCTGAAGTTCCTCCTGATGGAGGCGGTGCTCCATCCCTAATCAGAGCCGAGCCAGTCTGACTTGGCACCCAGTGTCTCAGCATCAGTGCAGAGTGCTCCTTCTGACATGAAAGAATCTCTGCACTGTTCTCCACTGGTACCAAAGAAAAAACATAAGAAGCAGCTGGCAGAGAGGGGACATTCTCAGACTCTGAAGAAAGCCAACCACATAGAGTGCAATGGAGTATGACCTGAGTCTGGCCAGTCCTCTGCCCCCACTCTGAGGGCAGCACCATCAACTCCACCTCATAGGCAAGTTCCATTGAGTCTGGTCCTGGACCATCCCTTGGCACTGGAGGAGCAATGCGACACCAGCAAGATTGTGGTACCATTTATTCTGGAGGCATTTGTTGTGGCCAGGGACCTGCTGGTGCTTTCAGTACCACCATTGCCAGTGGTACAAGAGTTGGTACCGGGGAGCAGAAGGGAGCCTGTGGCCCTGGGCTCCCATTCGGTACCAGCCCCCTCGGTACCATCTAGAGGGAAACCGTCCTTGCTTGCCTCAACCCAGGTATTCCTACCTCAGCACCATTCCCTGGCACCGATGGATATCTCCCCTCCATGTTCCTCAGAGGAAGGCTCGTCATTGTACTTGGAGGTAGAATTGTATTCCCACTCGAGGAACTGCTGTCAGTTCCCCACTGGGCAGCCCGACCAGTTGATGGACCTGGGTGCAGGGGTGTTGCTGAGTACTTGGCACAATGAGTACTTGCTTATGCAGATACAACAGCCATTTTGGAACCTGTGGGGTTTTCCCCCTATGCAAGGGCCCTCTTCCAGACACTCTTACTCCGTAATCTCGGAAGGAAGAATGCCCCCATCCTACGACCAGCACGTGACCAAGCCTTAGGACCTAGATCTCTGGGACCCAGTCAGTGCAGAAGGAGAGGAGCAGGACCCCCTTCCAATATAGGCCTCTTCTTTCTCTTCCCTGGATGAGGCAGTGTCTGGGATGCCTGTATCCTCCCCTCATGACGACTTTGCAGCTGACCAGGAGCTGAAAGTGGAGGTAGTCAAAGAATCCTCCCATAGCCTGGTTCATATTCTGTCCACTGTGGGCCCGTCAAAAGTGGCCCTCCCTCTCAATGAGGCCATTATGGTACCAGTTAAAGCTTTGTGGCAAACCATGTCCTCTCTGCCTCCCACTGCAAAAAGTGCTGAAAAGAAGTATTTTCTTCCCACCCAAGTCTATGAGTACTTGTACTCCCACCCCCCTCCAGGGTTCCTGGTGGTCTTGGCGGCCAATGAGAGAGACAGACAGGGACAGCAAAGAGTGACTCCCAAAGCAAAGGATGCGAAGAGACTAGACTGTTTGGAAGAAAGGTTTATTCTACAGGAGGTCCACAGCTCCAACCAGCAGGCTTTGCTGGGGAGATACAATTTTAATGTCTGGAAGTCGATGATGAAATGGAAAGACTGTCTTCCCTAGGAATCCAGATAGGAGTTCTCTGCTTTGGTGGAGGAAGGGAAGTTTGTGGCCAGGGCCTCCCCACAGGCCACCATTTTTGGAGGATGGATCCTGGCTTCTGCAGTGCTCATGCATATATATTCTGGGCTCCAGTCCTCGGGTCTACCAACGGAGGTCTAACAGTCCATCCAGAACCTTTCATTTGAATGCACTTTGCTCTTCTCCAAACAAATGGATGTGAAGTTTTACCGCCTAAAGGTTTCTAGAGCCACCCTCAAGTCCCTAGGTCTATGTGCCCCAGTGCCTTCGAGGAAACACTTCCAGCCTCAACAACCAGTCCACTTTTCAGCTCTGCCACCATGCCAGGACCTGTTTAAGAAGCGAAACGGGTTATAAATGCAGACATTTGCCCCTGCCCACTTCAGCCTCACTAGGGGCCATCACAGATACTTGGGAGGCCCCAAGCAGAACTTTTGATGTGGTGCCTGAGGACATTATACCAGTTCCTGTACCATATCCTGCCCACCTTTTGTTTTCAAACCATCTCTCCCTGGCCTCCATTATTCCAGGGAACTGGTACACTGCCCTCGACTTAAAAGGCACCTATTTTCACATCTCCATATTTCAGGACCATAGAAGATTTCTCAGGTTCATTGTGAACCAAACCCACTACCAGTTCGCTGTCATCCCCTTCGGCCTGTTGGCAGCCCTTCAGGTATTCACGAAATGCATGGCAAGAGTGGTGGCCTTCCTGAGAAGGTAAAGGGTGTGAGTCTACCCTTACCTCGACAACTGGCTGATCATCCGAGGCCCAGATGAGAGCCAGCATCCATCTGGTCCAATCTACGTTCCAAGCACTGGGCCTGCTGACAAATGAGCAGAAGTCAACACTCATCCCCATTCAGAAGATAGAGTTTATAGGTGTGATGCTTGATTGCACCTGGGTCAGAGCCTTTCTCCCAGAGACTTGCTTCCAGGCAGTGTCTGGCAATGGGACCAGCTCTGTTCAATATCTTCATCAACGACTTAGATATTGGCATAGAAAGTACACTTATTAAGTTTGCAGATGATACCAAACTGGGAGGGATTGCAACTGCTTTGGAGGATAGGGTCATAATTCAAAATGATCTGGACAAATTGGAGAAATGATCTGAGGTAAACAGGATGAAGTTTAATAAAGACAAATGCAAAGTGCTCCACTTAGGAAGGAACAATCAGTTTCACATATACAGAATGGGAAGAGACTGTCACATAAATACCACCCTGTACCGGAAACCTACTGACCGCTACACTTACCTACATGCCTCCAGCTTCCATCCAGGACACACCACACGATCCATTGTCTACAGCCAAGCTCTAAGATATAACCGTATTTGCTCCAATCCCTCAGATAGAGACAAGCACCTACAAGATCTCTATCAAGCATTCTTAAAACTACAATACCCACCTGCTGAAGTGAAAAAACAGATTGACAGAGCCAGACGAGTACCCAGAAGTCACCTCCTACAAGACAGGGCCAACAAAGAAAATAACAGAACACCACTAGCTGTCACCTTCAGCCCCCAACTAAAACCTCTCCAGCGCATCATCAGAGATCTACAACCTATCCTGAAAGATGATCCTTTACTCTCACAGATCTTGGGAGACAGACCTGTCCTCGCTTACAGACAACCCCCCAACCTAAAGCAAATACTCACCAGCAACCACACATCACTGAACAAAAACACTGACCCAGGAACCTATCCTTGTAACAAAGCCCGATGCCAACTCTGTCCACATATCTATTCAAGTGACACCATCATAGGGCCTAATCACATCAGCCATACCATCAGGGGCTCGTTCACCTGCACATCTACCAATGTGATATATGCCATCATGT